TCCAATAATAAAACGAATAAATAAGTTTGCAGTTAAACGATAACACAATTTGACAGTTTATAGCAAAAACTTCCAAGCAGAGTAGGTGTCTAAAGGGATAAAAAATCAAAGTCAATGCGAAAACTTTCTTTAGTAGATTAATTACCCATAGGTAAACACTTAAAACCTTAATTTAAGTTTGCGCTGAAAAAGAACAAGTCTCGTCGATTCTACCTAACACATTCTAGTCACGAATCTCGAAAATAAACTTGGATTGTTATTTACAAAAGCTTCAAAGAAAATATAAAAAGCTACAGAATTAGGAAGGCTATAAATTGTACGCTCTAATAATTCGAAAAAGTGTATTTGTACAGCTAAATGGATGGAGGCTTTATCGAAATTTCGTGTGTTATTTATTGTTCTCCCGAGCTTGTTAGTCTTGTTATCTTGATAAGAACAATGAACCTGAAGTTTTGCGGTTCAAGGTTTCAAAGAGCAAAACTCTCAGAAGTTGCAAAAGGTCGAACCTGTTGACCCATTATTTATTAATCCGGCACCTACCAGCACCTATGCTCATCCACGCTACTAGATGCTCAAATTCAAAAACACTTTGCAGCATTATTAACTTACTAGAGTTACAACTTTTTGTTCTTGTTGTGACTTTTCACCAAAATTATTATTTCATGTCACAGACGACTGCCAGGGATGGATTCCGTAAGCTCCTACATCTGTTATGAAAGTTTCAACAAAGTTTGTAATATTATCTTATTATGATAGTTTAACACGTATCTGAACGTCCCTTACCAAATTTCTTGATGGGGTAACTCTGAAACATAGTCAGAAAGTAACCTTTTTGTTGTTGAATAGAAAGAAAAGCGCAGATATAAGCAATTTGCCTGAAACCCTTATTTGTAGAATTGGGTCAGTGTTGTAGTTGCACCGCCGCTTTTCTTTAACAATTCCCCATTTTAGAATATCCACCTAGTATAACAAAAATCCACTCCTATTTGCTCTTCGCGTTTGTTTGTGTTTGTAATGACATAAATTGAAGTTGCTTGAAGCTTGCTAAGCCTTAAACTAGGAAAAGCTTTGTCGGCTGAAATAGAGAGTGTCAACTCGTAGAGTTAAGCCATAAATTGGTAAAACCGTGTTCTGGTAAGATAGTGATAAGTAAAGATGATTGTTATTAACGAACCCTCGCATAATAGTCGCCTGAAGTAAGCCGTAAATTATTGGTATCTTATAGTCGATAGTGTAATGGTGGCGCCAATTACGCTTATCTGATTAACTGAATGATAATTCTCTCCATTTCGGTAAAGGTATTATTCGGATAATGCACGTGCCGAATCTCACGCGTTTTACCTTCACATCAATGCGAATTTCACTCCAATTGACTCGAGAACGATCAGGAATAAAAGCATTGGTGAAATAATAATGAGACAATACAATACCATCTCAGATACTTTATTAGAATTCGCGTTGAAAAAATTATTAGATCCGTACGTAGAAAAGTGGACTGAAATTTTTAAAAAGAAAAGATAAAAGTCCACGCCTCAATAAAATGTTGCCATTAAACAAAAAATAATAAGAAGAATACATAGTCTATTTAGAAACAAAAGCTTTAAATATTTGCTATTCATGTGACCATGTTTTTAATTTTTTTATTCACAAGTAAATTACAATAATTCATGTCGTTGTTTTAGGGCTTATTTATTTGCAACTCTCATTAACACGACTAACTGTTATTTGTCAAAATATTTTTAACTCATATCTACTTGTTATTTCAACAAAAATAAAATATCAGAAACGAAATAACATGACATTTATAATTTACATACATTGTAGTAATCCTACAAATAAATAATACGTAAAAATATTTGTTATTTTTACAATTCTAATTAAAACTCAGATTTAAACATTAACCCTGTAAGAATTTTTAAGCTTCCAAAAAATATTCCCGGAAATAATTGCACATTTGGGAAATTGCCAACAAAGATATCACAAAAGTATTCGATAATTTATTAGTGGTTTAAATAATTTTCGATTTCGAAAAATTACAAAAATCATAAAAAATTAATATGATTTTTTAAATAGAAAATTTTGTTAAAAAAACGTAAAGAAAAGCTTTTGATGTCAAAGCTGTTGTAAAAGTATGTTTTTCCACGACCGTATAATTTCGTTGTTGTGGTATTGCTGAGGTCGTAGAAAAAATGGTGTACATAACTCGCTGAAAAGTTTCTAACGCACTTGTGGGACTTCTGCACTTACCTAATGTCTTGTGCATAAGATTCCCCACTTGTGCGTTATTTCTCAGTTTCCGTGCTCGTTATGTAATATACTATTACAAATTGTATTTTGATTTTTTATTTTCACCTTACACTGTTAATATTAAATGATCGACAAAATACACTTCGAGAACTGGTTTCCATTATGAATGTAAAAATGTTAAACAAACGATGTATGAATTAAAAATTATAAAAAAAATTATAAAACAGCTGAAGTAGTCAAAATAACGTTTAAGTTCTGTTTTCGTTTAGGAAATACCTCAGCCAATCGCCAAACCAGATTGTCGTCTTAAAATTAATTTGTTAAAACCAAAAAAGGTATTCCTAATTCCTAAATAATAGCTACACTTATTATTCCATGAAATTTCAGTTAGAGGAATATTGCCAGTTCCCGCAAATTTATAGTGGGATACCAGCTACTTATAATAAGAATTTTATTATAGGACATTGAAAAACATGCACCATAATTGATAGAAGCTAAATATTACATAAAATCACGAAAAAATTGTTCAGTGTAATTTTTGCTCAATGCAATTGGTCTGTTAATGCCACCAAAATCCACTTCCGTATCGTGGAGGTAGCGAAACTTTTCATAATTTGTGAGTAAACATAAATTTCGTAAATAAGATTGTGTGCTGATTTCGAAATTCCGCTTGAATTAAACCTCGTGTAACTCCTTCAACCGAATCATAACGTATTCAGTTCACAGTTTCAATTTCGCCGCTGAAAATTGAGTGCATCCCTTGGACCACCTGTTGCCATAGTTACAATTTAAACTAAGTCGCCTGCAGGTCTTATCCCAGGAAATAAACACTTGATAGAACTTTGAAACATGCCTCAGGACAGTGGTTTCATTAAATTAACATTGCCCAAATGACCTATTCCGACAGACATGAAATATATCGGAAATTGATGCGGATAACACCGGAAAAGCAAACACCAGTAATTAATGCAGGAAAAAATAAAACAGAAGCGGTAATGAAACAAAAATACCTAGTAAAAGTTTTCAAATGTCAGACTGTTGGAGTAACAGTAAACAAAAAGCTTATAAAACGAGAGAAATAACAGAAATTTCTCTTCAATTTTTGATGAAATACCTACTCAGAGAAATGGATTCTAATAAATAACAAAATTCAATTTTAAAAAAGAAAGATGATTCAAATGTGATTGATCTTTCTCAGAGAGAGTTTTGTCAGCTAATGTTTTATTGGTTCTTTAAACGCAAAATTGTTCAGTTAATTTAATTACTGATGTTTTTAATGGACTTAAAATACTTTCTTAATCTCAATTTTAATGCCTGAAAAGATTCGCAAATAATTAGTTTCAGTCTTAAGATGAGGCAAAAGCTTTTGTCTTAAAGTTTGTGAAAATCGGAAGAAGAGATTAATTTGTGAACTCGGATCGATGAATGTTACAAATGAAAATAACGATTCGCCCTAACGCTTGTTTCAAAGTTTTGATTAGGACTAGAACACGCATTTAACGAAACCTCAGCATGAAATATCTCCAGCATTATTCAGCCTGTAAGAAACTTCTCGGTATTAACTCGACAAAAACCAATTAAACCAGCAGGAAATAAAGGAATTTAGTGTGATTAACGAGGATTTAAGAGTCTATTATTTCATGCTGTCGGGATGTAAAAAACTGGCGTTATAAAACTGGTAGGTACTTTGATATTAATTGTCGAGTAAAAAAGCTGACAACGCAGCAAAAATGTTGATGAAAAATGATTTGTTTGCGACACGAAAATCGGTTAGTCGCGAAATAACGTCGAGTTATAATGAGTTGGCACACAAGAATGATAAAATAAAAAAGACACTTTGTTAACAGCAACAAAGCGGAAAGATAACGAGCTTAATGCGATTTGAGGAGCCGATTTGAAACGCCAAATAGACGATAAACTGTCTTCAATCAGATAAATTAAATAATTTACAAAATGTAACTAACAACCCGATATGATATTTATATTTTTATCTGGGATTGTTAAGTATTAATATTATTATAGGCGTATCCATTAATAGACACATAATTTAGTTCATATTACACTCCTTGAAATATAAATCTATATTCCACGACTCTTGCCTGTATGGCCTACTGTGTGAAAGCAATTTAACATTTTTATTAATCAAATTAAAACGCCAACTTTCAAATGTCAACTTTATCAATGCCAAAAATCAAAAATATTTTATAGTCGTAGGTAAATCATAATGTTCTACTCATATATAATAGGTATTATTCACTCAGGTGATTAAAAAACTCGCTTACGATTCGTTTTTTAAACTTCACTTTTGTCGTCATCACTATACATATGCTCGTTGAATAATATACTATTATTTTTAATTTTTACCATATCAAGAAAAAAAATCAACACTGGATAATAATATTAAACCATTGGCAAGAATCTGATGTTTACAGTATGTCAATATTTAATATTTTTACATTTATGGTTTAAAATAGCGCCGAAATAAGAAATAAATCAGTATCAATACAAGTGCCAAAACACCACAAACCATATTTTAAACTGATACACATTTTTATTAGTACGTCAAGATATAGTCCTGCCATCTGCAGATGGGAAGACTAAACAATACAGATTTCGTCCAAACACAACGAAACAATCGATTCACCTGTAGTAAATTTACTAGAAATGTTTTTAGTGTCGTCCATGTTGTAAAGATGGCAGCAATTCAAGTGCGCAAATTATGTTTGGGGGCGGCATTTAAAGCAAATACTTACTTAAATAATATCTCTCCAAGCTGTCTAAGTCATCGTAGTGGCTAGGCCGAATCTCTATGAACTTCTTCCATGCTGTAAAACTGACTTTTTTCTCTGGTCAAAAATGAAATAAGAAAACTTACTATTTTTGAAGAAGCTCAAGCACCCACTTGACTCATTTTTCAGAGGTTGTTCGCTGCCTTCCCCTAGTGTACTCAATTCGATATCTTCTCCCTCGGCATCCTCTGGCTTAAACTGAAACAACAGCATGAGACTCTAAAGCTATAAATAAGATAAGCGCACTTTCTGAACTTGAGCCAAAGGTTCAGCCCAATGCATTGCACTTTTTGTTTATTGTGAACGGCAACGATTTCACGCGACATTCAGCATAACTAAAGCGACACTATATAGAAAATTTCAGTGGTGACCAGGTGGTATTGGCATGGAACCAAGTTATTTTAAAGCAAGGGAATAAATTCGTGAGATTAAGGCAGAGGACAGTGAGCTTTATTATCGCGTTCGCGGTGTGAAAGGCCCGTGGAAAAATAAACAGGGGAATCCGTTACGGTAGATTGAAAACACGCCAAAACTTTGGTGGAAACCGACTAATAAAAATAAATTTGGTATTTTTGTTAACCGTTACTGATGTTACGATGACACATATGGCGCACATGTTGCTGACGAATCAGAATGAACTTTCACACGATGCAATTGTGCAAGTACAACATTTTGTTCAAATATCTGCAGAAAAGTGGTAGATGGCATTAGAACTAGTTTCTTGCTAAAAACGTCAGACATGGCCGTGTGAATATTTATAAAGTTATAATAATTGTTATTAAATCCTGTCGGGCATTTCAAAAGAAAGAAAACACAAAATAACATAATTAACTTAATTTATAAGACATTAAAGTCGGGTTTTGTTTTATTGTTGATTTACAGTTTACACAAATTATTTAAACAAAAAAAAGTTTTATTCAATGCTTGTGTAATTTTACGACTTCATTTCAACCTTATTCTTTAAAAACAAAGAGTAAAGGCGGTCACACATCACACGATTTTTAACTAAATTTCAACAGTTTACATTATCTCCTAGAGCAATAAATGAATTTAATTGGACTTTAACTTGAACGAACAAAAAAATTGATTAGCACAATATAAAACTTCTTTAAATTTAAAATCACAAATGAAAACTTCAATAAGATGACGTAGTAAATTCATTATTTTATAATAAAAAATTACTAGACCTTAAGTAAAAACATTTAAATTTGTAAATTATTACATTTTATGTTTCTTTTTTTTAATAGTGTCAATTCATTAGATTGACATGAATTGTGGTGACACGCTGAAACATTTAGTTATTTTTATAGAAATAGGTCAATTTGGTTTACAACAGTAACTGTTTGCAACATCAAACTGGGTTTTGCAAACGCGTCGGATAAATGTACAAAAATTTAAAAAAATATAAATACTAAATTGCTAAATTAAAAGTTATTAAAGGGTGTCCCAACGGGAACTTGTGGATTTAAATTCCAAATAACATGCGTAACAACATAAACATAAAGTAAAAACCTCAAAATTATATGTGGAACAAGATATCGGATAAATGTCCACCGCGATTCCTATTGCACACAGCAATTCTCCGATTCTTTTTTTTAATTTTTAATAAATTTATCAAACATATGCAAATTAATTTCGGTAAATGCCATCGAGGTGGAATTAAACGCAAAAATTGAGGATTTGAGGAAACTGATTGGTGGTCACGATTACGACTCTGTGAATGAGAGTCTAAGGGGTGAGAAAAGCGCTCTTTTGGAAAACATCAAAGAGTTGCGTCTCCAACTCCCAAGACCAAAAAACAAAAAAAAAAAACTCACAACAACTCTATGACGAAATTATATGAAGTGGTCGAAGCCATAGTTAATGATTTATTCAAATAAATAATGTGAAATTTAAATCCCCAAGTTCCTGTTGGGACACTCTTTACAAGTTATTTCAAAAGTCCACGTTATAAATAAGAGTACATAAACTACAAATAATATAAAATGTAAATGTCAACTTAGAAAATATAAAACTGAAAAAGATACATTTAGTTAATGTTCCATGATTAACAGAAATGCAAAAAATTATTACAAACAGTTAACAGTTGTTTAGTTTTAATCTTTATTAACTAGGACAGTAATTCTATAATTTATTCGTATAAAAAACAATTTATTTAAATTTAATGACCCACATATACATCATTTGTTTAATTAATTAGTGACATAGTAACATTCTATTTGAGAATCAGATATCAGGTTTCACACCTACGAAAATTCTCCTGCTGATGGATTTTTGATAAATGCTTTCAATAGTTTCAACCATGTATGGATCAGGTGAACGTGGCTTTAGCTCCAGTATTTAAGTTTTTAAATCAGATCCGATATTTGCACACGTTAAAAATGCATGGAAGGGGTCCCAGCCTGGGGCAAAATTTGATATATATTGTGTATAATTACATATGTGTTAATAGTTAAAGAGGGTACAGGTCCGCGGTTCGACCAGAAGGGATCAAAGAACCCGTGCAGACATTCCAGGACGGGTGCGGTGGTCCGGACAGCCTGTGGCGTATGTGAACGTGATTATATGGAGCAAATAGCTCCTCACAAAAACAAAGTTTCTTGTCACCGTGCAATTTACTAAAGTCTTATTTACCGGATCGACTTTTCTGATCCTTAATGACAGAGCCGAGGTCGCACACAAAACGGGCACGCAACGACTCCTTCTTTCGTTGTCGTTCCCGCTGATTATCGGTTTATTCAAGAATTTGTATAATTGGATCGCATCAAAGCATTATCTCCACTTTTTCTACACCGTCACTGAATATGTAGCAATTTACGACTGCCGTAAAGGTGGACACCTATCATATGCTTTGTCTGAAACCATTTGCCACTAACGGCATCACAAACTTAATCCAATTTAAAAATCAGATTCAAAGAATAATAATGATTAATTTTTTCAAAATATTACGGTTGGTGCTTGCTGAATATCAAAATCGCTCAAACTTATTTTTAGTTAGTCTTGGTTTCTAAGCATTTTCATTCAGAAACAAAAAATTTGTTGACAATAAATTTAAAATTAGTTTTATGTTATACACATGTAGATATTTTCAATTCTTTATTCCTTCTTGTTGTCTTGTTGTCAAAAACTTTAAATACAATGTTAAATACACATTTCTTCAAGATAATTAAAAAAAATAAATAAAACAAGTACATACATATTGGTAAAAATAGTAGAGTATAAAATATATAAATAATATCCATAATATACAGTATGTCTCCGGATTGAGTTTACAAGAGAAAAATTTATTTTATCTTCGATTTTATGCCAAAACTGCAAAGGAAAAACATTTTTGCTTCACCTGAAACGAGCAAATTTATAATTAAAACTTCATTATTCTGATTCAGTGAAAAGAAAAGTTAATTTTTCTCTTGATTTTGGACTAATTTTTCTTTGCTTTTTAAGTCTCATCACATTGGCAGTTTTATTTATTTGACAATTATATGTCATTTCGACAATTAATTTATTAATTAAATAAGTATAGTTCTTATTAAAAATGACATATAAATGAAATTTTTTTTATCTTAAAGCAGTTTCTTTGAGTTGCTATTTATTAAATTATGTTTTTGACAAACATTTAACTTGCGTAAACTCATTTGTCAAAGTGAGATCATTGTTCAAAATCAAGAGAAAAACGAATTTTTCTTTCTACTGAGTTACAGTAATTTTTGCTTGATTTGGTTGTCTCAGGTAAAGCAATTTTGGCGTAAAACCAAAGATAATTTTTTTTTCCTCTTGTAAACTCAATCCGAGGACATACTGTATAATTATATAAACTGTTTATTCATTCCTTAGATTGTTAAAAAACTTACAAAAATTCTATGTCTTGTTTGTGATTCCGTTTCAATTGAAAACTTTAGCAATGACAAAGTTTCTAACAAATATTTAAAACTGAAAAATGTGTTTTGTCATTATTAAAAACTAAGTAGGATGTACTTGAAAAATAGACTGTCTAACGTAAAAAAAGCAATAGGTTAATAAAAAATTTTATTGCTAGGCGTTCTTGTACTATGATTTTTAAAGTACACATCTGATGATTTTATAATGCTTATCTCCACAGAATTTTAAATATAAGAGCATCCAAAGTTTACCTTTTAATTTAAAATAAAAGACAAACGTATTAAATCGTTCGAAAACTTCTACAGTATTTATAAAATGTTGTATATTTCTTTGTTTAGTTCTTCAACCATCAACCCGTTAAATTAAATCCTAAATATAGTTTAACTGTGCTAGATTGTACAAGGAAGAAGGAACATATTTGTTTCACCTGTTAGGTTAAAGATACAGTCAATTGACATTTTTAATGTTATTTTGAAATTTATTATATTTTCGCTTTTTCTGTTTTAAAAAAAAAAAACTTTTTTTACTATAATTTTTTTATTGATTAAAAAATTGATGGGGTGTGTTGCAATAAGAAATAGAAAAAAAATTCTACAAAATATAATTATGCAACAAATAAAACACTTTGATTAATTGAACAGCTGCTTGAAATATCATTTACGAGTATTTATAGCTAAATATTTGATGGGTTTAACCACTACCGTGCTCAAAAGTTTATTCTATTTTTAATAGTTTAAAGCTTTACGGAACTTATTTATAATATTTTAAACATTTCCAACATCATAACACATCATTAAATTAAGATTAAGTGCCGTTTTATGAATTGGCATTACCACAAATATGTGTCGAACCGATTCTCAAAACATGCACACCAATATTTTATAATTTGCAAATCAAATGTAAATGTTAAACTAATTGGACATAACAAAAGGTGCTACATTTTTTATGTCCAATTTTAATAGTGCCACAGTAATAATTTCACTTGTTTTCTTGTAAAAAATAAGTGCCTTGTTATAAAATGCATGTTTTCAACATAAACATAAATTAATAATGAGTACTAAAAATAGATTTCTATGTTTACACTCAATATTCTATGCGAAAATTTTTATACTGTTCAGTTTTGTGATGTTACCTGATCTCTCCGGGAAGCCATTGTGTATATGCAACCATGAAGACGCTAAAGTAGGGTAAATTCGCGTACCGGGGCACTGTGAACCGTGCATTAGATGTAGCAGGTCAATTTTGTGGAGGTTAATACAATGTTGTCTCGTTAGACACATACCTCCAGAGGCAGTTCGAAACGCGGCGTCAAATTATAGAGCACTTCATCGGCGTTGACAGAGGGTTGAGCGTGATTCATATCGCGATGTTTTAGATTAAACGGGCGCCGGAACTGACGAAGGGTACCCAATGTTTTATTTATAACGAAATTAATGGCCACCCTAAGCACAAACACACAATTATGCTTTAATAGGTTGATCAGAATCCCATCGTTTGAACCCTCACATCCGAAAGCGCCTTGCACTACTGGACGCAGTATACGCACTTTGCGATCTAAAATTATTTTTTGTCTTTCTCACTTGCTGTGGTTAATTCAGCTTTAATCGAGATGATTGACTGGGTTTGGTTATTTTTAAAACACATTCTCGTAAAATTGTAAACCAGAACGCCTGCAAAAATTTGAAAATTTCAGAATTTACAAAATTTTATTGACTTGTTGCAGCACGTCTGATTTATTTTTGCGCGGCTTATAAAACGGTTGTAACGAAAGCAATGAATAAATATTTAGGAACGGATTCTTTCCTGAATCAAATTTGAAGTACAAAACTCTTGTCGAGTGTTGCGAATTTAAGTACTGCTAGGAAAAACACAATTTAGATTATGTTCTACTTAAACTTAAATAAAGGCTAAAAAAAAAGATATAAAATTGATTCATCTTAAAATTATTAAAATTAGTCATAATTAGCATAAAAATTTCTTGTACCAAATTATTTTCAGGTGTAAATCAAGAAACCGGAGGCGAGTACTTTGACTTGATGACTTATTATTTGTAATAACACGCATGTGCCATACAAAACATTATACAACACTTCTTTTACTATTTCAAATGCATTTTTTATTTTTTTATCCACATCTAAAACGAGATATTTTTTGAATTTTTTGTTTTAATTATCACTAGTTTTAATATGTATTTATAAAATCTATCGACTTTACACATAAAATCATTTTGTCCCATATATGTTTAAGTAATGATTTCTATGAAACGAGGTTTAGCAATTTTTTGCGAAAACTACCCACGCAATTCCAATTGTTATGTCCAGTATGTGTTTATAATTTTAAGAATGTGGATTATTTTAATTAACACTTCTGTTTTTACAAAATACAAACTCTATACTATATGTGGTGACAAAATTGAAATTTATTATCTTGTTAACGCCATATATTTTTTTTTATTCTAAATTATTAATATGAGTTTTAATAATAAATAGTAATAAATAAACTTAATTACAGTTTTATACTGAACTTTTTTATTCATAAATTCGTAAAGTTATGACACATTGCCATTTAAAGATCATAAAGTATGCACTAATTTTTACATAGCTAGTAAAAAATTCTCATCTAAATAAATTTTAGGAAATCATTATTATTACTGAGTCATTTCTAGTAAAAATAAAAATTTTATTAAAAATTCTTTTTAATCAACTCACTCTCCCGTTCACACGTTAATTAAATAAATGTACATAGAATAATTGTTAGAATTGTTGCAAATTAAATTTTGTGGTTTTAAGTTTGAACATGTTTTTAAAACATTTTGTGAACAACACAGTTAGTGGAACTTTTTGCATTTAATAAATTGAGAAGAAAAACCAATAATACAAAAAAATCTGCACAAATATTAAATTAAAGTTAAGTTTTTTAATGCGGTCTACATTTACACAATTGATCTCTTTAGATTCAAAAAGCTTCGACGGTTATCTGAAAAATTTTATTCTGAATGATAATTCCAAAGTGTGAGCAATGAGCAAATTTTGGATGTCCCAGCCTTTAATGACCACCGATGGTTGATACTCGATTTTTTGTTGCTGTGGGTACATTTAATTTTAAAATCTAGTTCACTTATCTTCTGGTTAGGAGTAATTCTATCGGCTTGCTTGTTAGAAGATAATAAAATTATTCGCTTATGATGGATTCCTTTGATGTGTGTAAAGTGCGAGTCTTTGTTTGGTTATTTAATGGTGGAGGTACCGCCAAACCGTCAAAGAGGCCTAATATAAAGGCCTAATATAATCTGTCGGGATATAAATTAAAAGGCAGTTAATAGGTAAGAGTCGAAGGGATTTTTATGATTGAGGTATAGGAGGAGTATAATGTGTGTGGCCGCCACGTTTATGATTAAAAAATCGGCTCTAAATCCGTCTGTTAAGAAGTGTATATGTTTCGGAAACAGTAAAACCGCCGATATCTATTTAACAACTTATTCGACAGAGTCGGCCTCCTCATCAGCGGGATCCCAATAGGTAATAAAATTAATCGTTTCTTATTTAACTGCGGCAGCTATAAAAAAGAGGGTTAAACGGTGATTTTCTTACGGAAAGTATGGAGAAAAATCGAGATGGAAGAATGCTGGCTAGTAAATTGAATCTAGTAAGAGATCTTTCACACATTGTAAAGACACGTCTTTTCTTGGAACTGTTCTCAACACCGCGTCAAAATTAATCGGATCATCTATCGATTTTATTATGAAGGCAAAGTAATATGATTATAATAGGATTCCTCTCTACTAAAAATGATTCCTGGGTTTTTTCACTTTCGATTTTGCTGAAGCACAGTTTTTTGATATATTCAATTACGGTTTTGTAATTTGTGAAACAAATTGAACCGGTGAGGAATTTCTTATTATGCAACAATCGAAAATAATTATATGACTCCAGAGATAAATCAATAAGTTGTCATTAAATTTTCAGGAGAGCTCCCATAAAAGTTGCCTCACAAAAGATTCTTTTGGTTTCGTTGTAAAGGCAATAATTTGTGATAATTTGCCGGCCATTTCGAAACCGTTAACTTAAACTATGACATTGTTGGATGTCACATAAAACCGGCAATAACACTCGGTCAGAAACCAGTCCTCGACTTGATGAATTAGACGGCATTGTGAGTGAGTAGTTTTCTAATTGTCCTGGATATATACCTAATGTTTCCGTCGATGGCTCGATGATTAATCCGACATCAAATCTGAAGCGACGCAATCAATCGACTTTTTGCGATTGTGGGCATATGCTACCATGGAGGCCAAGTATGTCGCTGAAGACGTGAAGCTGTGTATGCGACGTGTGCGGTGCCACTGAAACCGCCTAGGACATTGCTCAAATTCTCTGGATATTACACAACGAACGAGACGCTTTTTCTTACGACGGACATCTTTCGCTTTCCATAACTTCGAATATGATCCACAAGGCTTAATATGATCCTCTCCACCGACCGTCGCAATAACCAATCACACACTGATCCCAAATTATAGTCCTGAAGCTGCCATTGGTCGAACGATAAGTAATATGCTGCAGCCTCGCAAAAAACCAACCGATCTTGTGGTTTAACATCTTCTAATAAGATACACTCAATCCATCCGCTACTTTCAAGCCATCATCACTTTTTCAAACGCTGCGAAAAACCTCAAATTTATTTGACGTCACTCACGAAACCTCAACAACCAAAATCTGCTGGTTTCGAAATTCGCATGTTTATAGGTTTAACGATGAAACATTTTTAAATGCCCAAAATAATAAAAACACCATTTTTAAAAAGCTTCGCTTGTAAAATCAACGTTTTTGTTTTAAACAACTCGAATAATGAATGTTATAATACGTTTCAGATACGACGTTTATCAATAACACAATTCTAAAAATTAAAATAATAAATACCAAATAAAAAACAAGGATTTTAAACAACTAAAACTTTTTAAACTTTTAACCGAGATGTAGGTATGTGTAATTTGTTTTTAATGTTGGTACTATAAGCCGGCCCACACAAATTTTTATTAAAATTATGCTTTTACTTGTACTCTGAAAATTCATAGATAGGTCCTGAATTTTTGTAAGACCGACCATTGAAGTATTTGCTTATTTTCAGTGTGTTTATGCTTTATTCACTTGTAAATAATGTTAGTAAAAAATGTGACTTTGACAAAAATAAATGATCATATTTTACATTGGACCAATCGTTCGATAAAAATTTCTCACATAAATTTTGTTTACTGTTTTATTATGTATGTATGAACATTTTGGCCACTAGAAGAAATGAAAATAGCACAATGTAACACATATACCGTACGATCAAAAAAAAATAAATTAGAGTAGGCGTCGATTAAATTCTACAGTTGGCAACACATTGACTGGGAATCTGGGCTGGAAATTTTCCACACAAACTGAAAGTGAAAATGACCATTCACCGTTTTCGTCTTGTACAGCAATAAAAATTTTCTGCTTTAAAGTGAACATTATTTCATTGAAAAGGAATAAAACGCAAACTTGTCAAAGTTTCCGCTGATATTTGATGTCATCTGAAGGACTTTAATTACCGCCTACACTAATTATTTTTTTTATTGTTACATTGTTAGAATAACATCGTTTAGCTATTTAATTTTTTTTTCAGTTCAATTATTATTTGTATTTTACTCTTTTTTAATATAAAAATAAAGCAAACGGCGTCAAAAACTTCGAAACTAATTTCTTTTTTTACCGTAACATTTTAAACAATTTTCTTATTTGTTTGCTGTTTTAGTATTTAAATAATATTCATTTTATGATTTTCTAGATCAATCCAAATTAAGTGTGTAAAAAGTATGAAATTTTAGAGTCATTGCGCCGAGTCATTAAATAAATCGCTGCAACGAGAACAAAGAGAATACAGTTAGTAGAGTTTAAAGCCCTTGTGTTAAAATATCTTAAGTCAGTTTTCCACGAAGGCATCCCCAAAAGCGAGAATGAAACCGAAAGCCAGTTCTCTCCTCCCCAGAATTTCACTATCAATTCTAAGACCCACACAGAGGGTTCTCGGTATAAAATCATCACTTCTTCGAAAAAACTTGGGAAAGTTTCTGAGAAAATGCAAATTTATTTCGAAGTATCGCTCTGAATCGTCTAGATGCCGAGTCGGTCGACAGCAACCTCTCTCAGGCTTGAGAGAGACAAGATCGTATTATCAAACCGTTACGTTAAATAAAGCATTTCAATCAATGCCAGACCTGGTTCCTAGAAATTTGTCTGAAAATGTTTAGTACTCATTAGATTTAATAATATAAAACGATACGGATGAAATGCTCATTTCAAGAGATCACCGACATCAAAGAGTGATGAGATTGCTAGAGTATAGGGTCGTACCTATCAACATTTCAAATTAGAACAATATCGAAATTATACGTGCGAGTACTAAATTCCGAGAAAAATTAATTGTGAGGCTTTTACGCTGAAGTTGTTTGGCTTGACCA